TTCAACGTTTATTTATTTTTGGGACAGAGAGAGACAGAGCATGAACGGGGGAGGGGCAGAGAGAGAGGGAAACACAGAATCGGAAACAGGCTCCAGGCTCTGAGCCATCAGCCCAGAGCCCGACGCGGGGCTCGAACTCACGGACCGCGAGATCGTGACCTGGCTGAAGTCGGACGCTTAACCGACTGCGCCACCCAGGCGCCCCTGGATGTTTGGTATCTTAATGGATCTCCATAAAGAGTGCATTGGTTCTGTTTGACTTGCATATTTCCATCTGTCTTTCTCTCCCTCACCTCCCAATTTGCTCTTAAATATTAATTCTCCACTGATGTGCAGTTGTTAATGGTGATTTAGTAAGGGAGTTTGCAGGAGTGTGTGAGATTGCCAATGAAAGCAAACTTTAACATTGCTTTAGGTGGATTGGTTTTATTTGCAGATTTTGGATTCTGGCCTTATAAGTTTACTGTGCCTTGTTACTATGAATCAGATTACTTGAAAAGAGTATATGAAGGAAGGAATTTTTGTCCTTTTGTATTTTGACATGTTTTACAAAGTACTTGGGGTCAAGATTAGGAATCATTTTCCAGAACTTAGAATTATATAGAGAAATCTGAGAATATAAATAAACTTCAGTTTTTGTATTTATTGTAAAGTGATCTGCCGATACTAATTTTCATTGCCTAATGTGATTAAAATTTGAATATCACAACCTGCTAATGTTCTACGAATGTTCATTATAGTAGCCAAAATTTTTGAATCTCCTAGCAAAGGAATAAAACTTAGGTGCTATGCTCCATCTTACTTTTAGAATTGAATTTTCAAGAAACTGAGATGAACGATTTTCTTTGAGCTCTAGGTGGCAGGGTTTTCCCATCATTTCAAAACTTAGTGTTCTAATTTCATTTAGTGTTATTGCCACCAGAGTATAATTTAAGAAATAATGGTTTAAGAATTGTTTGGTAGCTAAGTTTGTTTCTATGAGTGTTAACATTTTTAGAAACCAGAAACAATGTTTTGACTAATAGTCTTTCTGTATCCCATTTTTATCTTCTAAACACTAAAAAATCTTTTAGGTACTCTGTCTGAAAAGCCCTGTGATTTGATTTGATTTTACTTTATTTTATTCTATTATTTTTTTTTTTCAACGTTTATTTATTTTTGGGACAGAGAGAGACAGAGCATGAACGGGGGAGGGGCAGAGAGAGAGGGAGACACAGAATTGGAAACAGGCTCCAGGCTCTGAGCCATCAGCCCAGAGCCCGACGCGGGGCTCGAACTCACGGACCGTGAGATCGTGACCTGGCTGAAGTCGGACACTTAACCGACTGCGCCACCCAGGCGCCCCTATTCTATTATTTTTTGATGTTTATTTGGAGAGGGAGAGAGAGTGTGAGCAGGGGAGAGGCAGAGAGAGAGGAAGAGAAAGAGTGCAAGCAGGGGAGAGGCAGAGAGGGAGAGAGAGAATCCCAAGCAGGCTCTGCACTGTTAGTGCCGAACCCAACGCGGGGCTTGAACTCACAAACCATAAGATCATGACCCGAGCTGAAATCAAGAGTCAGACGCTTAACCAGCTGAGCCACCCAGATACCCCCAGGCCCTATGATTTTAGATAGACCTTCATTATTCCAGGGATTAGTGCCTTCTTACTTTCTGAGTTTGTGGAATAAAATGTTCTAGGTACCATGAGAAAAATAAGTATGTTACTTTATAGTTATATCATTTTTGCAAGCACCCCAAATAAAGCAACCTGATTTTATAATGCCATTAAAAACATAACTTTTAAACTTAAAAATTAGTAGTGTTCCTTGTTGAAAAATTGATTGGAAGAGATCATTAAAAGGAAGATAATCACTTATAATTCTACACAAAAATAACTGATAATATGGATTCTTCTGGAGTAAGTGTTCCTCACACAATACTTGATTATTTTTAAAGTAATGAGATTTGATTTTCAAGTATTTTCAGTGATTTTCATAGTATGATTAAGAATTTATTTGCATTTGTCCCTGTGTTGGCCTTTGTACTGCTGGTAAAAAGCAGTGGTTGGTTAAGTGCTGGCATCTTTGCATGAGTCAAGTTTTTACAGATCTTTTAGGGGCGCCTATGTGGCTCAGTTGGTTGAGCAGCTGACTCTTGATGTTGGCTCAGGTCATGATCCCAGGATTGTGGGCTCCAGGTTGAGCATGGCATCTGCTTAAGATTCTTTCTTTCTCTTCCTCTGCCTCTCTCCTCTGCTCCTGTGTGCTGTCTTTCTCCCTCTTAACAAAAAAAGAAAAAAAATCTTTGAAAAGTGTGCATTGACTCCTAACAAACAGTATTTCAAAACTTTCCAAATCTCGTATAAATTGTAGCAACCTGAGGTTAGTACTGGAGTTTGTCATATCTAGAAGAAGAGATAGTAGTTGATTTCTTTAAGAATTAAGAAGCCTCTTTTGATAATATATCTATCATTTTTACTTCAGTGTTAACTTTTTTCCTGGCTACATATTTCAAGAGAGGCAGAATATGAATATATTTATAGCCAATTAAACAGTTTAAGTAAAATAAAAATAATAAGCTGTGTTTATAGTATTTGGTTTTTGGATCAGTTTTTTAGTAGTAGTAGTAGTTTGATTTTTATTTATGTATATACTAAAAAACACTTCAGAATGATGTAGTAGGGAAGAACTGATAGGAAGAAAACAGTCTGAAGTTATTTATTAAATAAACTTACTCTCTTTGACTATTTAATTTTAAGTGGGCTAATTAAAATCCATTTATATTTCAGAATTTTTCCAAGAATATTTTTGCAATTCTTCAGTCTGTAAAAGCCAGAGAAGAAGGACGTGCTCCTGAACAGCGACCAGCTCCAAATGCAGCACCTGTGGTAAGAATGTTTTCTTGCTTATATATTAATTAATTAATTAATTAATTTTAATGAAAATGACTCTTGTTTTTCAGTATTGTAATTTTGATTTAAAAATTTTTTTTTTTAATTTATTTTTGAGAGACAATGTGAGCAAGGGAGGGGCGGAGAGGGAGAGGGAGGGAGGGAGAGAGAGAGAGAGAGAGAGAGAGAGAAAGAAAGAGAGAAAATCCCATGGGCTCCACACTATCAGCACAGAGCCTGATGCGGGGCTTGAACCCATGGAACTGTGAGATCACGATCTGAGGCGAAACCAAGAGTTAGACTCTTAACTGATTGGACCACCCAGGTGCCCCTCAGTATTGTAATTTGAAAACAAAGTTTTTTTTTTTTTTTTTTTCAACGTTTATTTATTTTTGGGACAGAGAGAGACAGAGCATGAACGGGGGAGGGGCAGAGAGAGAGGGAGACACAGAATCGGAAACAGGCTCCAGGCTCTGAGCCATCAGCCCAGAGCCCGACGCGGGGCTCGAACTCACGGACCGCGAGATCGTGACCTGGCTGAAGTCGGACGCTTAACCGACTGCGCCACCCAGGCGCCCCTAAAGTTTTTAAATCAGTAACTTTTAATTCTTTCGCTGCTTTAACAGTCCTGAAGGATTTGAAAATCTTCCCCACTGTTAAAACTTACACAATGAGATCTCACCACTTACACAATGAGATTCACCACACACAAGTTAAAATGGCTTTTATCAAAAAGACAGAAAGTGTGGGCAAGGATGTGGAGCAAAAGGAACCTTTATGCATCCTTGGTGGGAATGTAATTGATGTCACCGCTAGGGAAAACAGCATGGAAGTTCCTCAAAAAATTAAAAATAGAACTACTGTATGAACTAGCAATCCTACTTGCAGCTATTTATTGAAGAAAATGAAAACAGTAACTTGAAAAGATATATGCATTCTCATGTTCATTGAAGCATTACTTACAATAGCCAAGATATGCAAACAACCTAAGTGTTCATTGATGGATGAATGGATAAAGAAATTGTGGTATATACAAACAATGGAATATTTTTCAGCCATAAAATAGATTGTAATCTTGACTTTTGTGACAGCATAGATAGACCTTGAGGGTGTTATGCTTAAGTGAGATAAGTTAGAGACACATAGCTTATTCTCTCTTTTATATGTGGAATCTTAATACCAAAACCAGCTTCTAGATACAGAGGACAAATTAGTGGTTGCTAGAGGTGGGGGTGGGTGGGAGTGTGAGAAATAGATAAAGGGGGTCAAAAGATAAACCAACAACAATAATTAAAAAAACCCCGGGGCGCCTGGGTGGCGCAGTCGGTTAAGCGTCCGACTTCAGCCAGGTCACGATCTCGCGGTCCGTGAGTTCGAGCCCCTCATCAGGCTCTGGGCTGATGGCTCAGAGCCTGGAGCCTGTTTCCGATTCTGTGTCTCCCTCTCTCTCTGCCCCTCCCCCGTTCATGCTCTGTCTCTCTCTGTCCCAAAAATAAATAAACGTTGAAAAAAAAAAAAAAAAAAA